GCGGTGCCCGGAGCACAGTGCCCACCCCAGCCTTCAGAGCTGCTCAGGCTGTGCAGCACAGCACTCTGGTGGCAATATGAAGGACCTTGTAACAGTGGGAGCTCCAGGCCCCTTTGAACCACTGGGCCCCATAGCAACTGCTCCCTTTACCTGTTGGCGAGCCAGAGTGGGGGTGACAATGGCATGATCAGTTGCTTCCATGATATAATCTCCCTCCCTTTGCTGGGGCCCACAAAGAGTTCATTTTGTGTTTGCAATCTGCTTCAGGGAAAGGGACAGGAAAAAGGTAGACAGGCTGTTAGGAGCCTCCATGAAGATTACCTGAAAACGTAACAGACCCTTCTGCACCTTTTCACCCTTTGCACACGGATAGAACTTTTTCTCAAGAGGCTCTGCTAGTATAGCTCCAACAGAGCTAGACAGCCAGGAACTGCAGAGAATGGTGGGGCCCCCAAGAGACGGTGGAGACAGCACAAGGGAGCAACAGAAAAAGGGAACAACAAAATGTGAATTTAGAGGACATGCCTGTGACTCATTCAGTGGATGGGGGGAAAAGCAAACTTCTCCCCCAATAATGGGAGTGTGATCTATGAAGAGATCCTCTTAGAGATGGGTCAAGCTAGTTGTCCTCAGATTAATTGGCTCTTCTTCATTAACATATCAGCCTGGTGATATTGTTATCAGGCCTTGCCCTGGAGTATCTGAACTGAGTCTGCTATTGCTCAGCAATACAGAGGACATTGACTTGCCCTGGAATAAAGACATGTCCCAAACTGGGCTTCTGTGCAATTTGAAAATAGACCATTTTGGAACTAGGATACTTCACCAAAACTGGTGGAAAATAAGGCCTCAGGGAACATGTTCTTTCTTGTAGGGCTGGGACCGAAAACTTGAGACTCGTGGGCATGAAGGGAGAACTTTGGATTCTTAAAAGTATTCAAGAACAGTCTTATTCATTCTGCCATAAAATAAAATAAACTCACTTCACACAAACTCTTAACTCCCTATCCAAAAAAAATGTACTGTCAATAAGCTGTTTACTACAAAACTGGAGAATTCAGGCTACCAGGAAAGGTTAAAGTCATTTATTTCCCTCACAAGGCATGGAAAGTGGTGAGAGGAGGGGAATTTAGGAAATAATAAACTATCCTTTTTCCAGCATTCAGTAAACACCTTATTCACTCAGAATATACTCTACAAAAATATTTACTTGTATGCAACTTATTTCTTGGAAGCAGTTTATAAATAATTTTTAACAGGCGGAGTTCATGTAGGGATTTAAAATTTTAGATGCTTCTTTCAACCAATTTTGGTCTGGAAGTCAGAGTGGAAATTTCTGAAGCTCAGCCTCTTTCCCAAATACTTGGTTCATGTTGGAAATACCAAGGGTCAGTTTCTTTTACAGTTTCAGAGCTTGTGTTTCCAAATGATATAATCAGGAAAAGCTGACTTGGGTAAATTTATTAACCTCAAACATGAGTCACATTTTGTTTTGAAGTTTGAGACCATTCTTATTTTCTATGAACTGTTTTGCCAAACCTGTCAAAAATGCTTAGAATTTCTCTAATGAAATTTGATGAAACATTTCAGCCTCTATATACGAGGGCAAGGATGGGCAATTATAAAATGTCATTTAAATAAGCATACAATATTACTGCATTAAAATTTGGGGTACTTTATAGTTAGGGTTCTTTTTTGTTAAGCATTTGGTGAAAAGTACCATTTTTATATATGTATATGATAGGGGTGGGCAAAAGGGCCTCTGCAGGCCAGATCTGGCCCTCAGAGGCCCTGCTGCTCCACCGCCCCCAGGCCAATCAGGGCCTGGAAGGGGGGAGCTCTGTGAAGCTTCCTTCGCCCTGCCCTGGCCCTGCAAGGAGCCCACGGCACTTCAGAGTGTCACATGCTCCTCAAAGGGCAGGAGGAGGCTTCCCATGCTCTTGGTCTGGGGGTGGGGGAGCGTGCCAAGCCTCTCCCAGGGCATGGGTGCCTAGTGGGAAGGGGGGGGCAAAGGGGCTCCCCCACCCACAGACCAATCATGGTCTGGGGATAGGATAGCCCCGCCCCTTCCCATTTAGGCCCCACCCCTTCCAGGATGGCCTGGGACTACTTCAAACATTTTTCAAGTGGCCCCTGGGCAAAAATTATTGCCCACCCGTGATGTATGGTGTATAGGATGCCCCCCCTCCCAGGATAGGCCAGGAGACTCCAGAAATTTAAGATTACTCTTTTAATTAAAAACTATGTCATGCAATGACCCCTCCAGGAACTCTCCCACCAGAATTGACAACTCTAAACTATATGGCACAAGCTACAAGGGATTTGACCTTCTGGATGAATTAAGAGTTTTCAAATCCATATAAAATCCTTTGATCTGCTCTCTGCCTCTACTATTTCTGCAGTCACTCATATCACCAGTATTTTTTTTATTAAAAAATATTGGCCTGTGTTATTCATTTTGATACATTTTATTCATGACTGGACTGACTTTGCTTGAGAGGGCAAATTGAGAATTCCATACTCCACTGTTAAAAACCCAAAATTTTCCACAAACATGGAAAGGTCATGAGTCTAGGAAGTGAGTTTACTTAAGTAAGATGTTCTGATCTATGGAGGATTATTACTCTTATGTAAAGAAGCACTGAGGAACAACCAAAGGAAAAGAAAGATAATCAGTGAAGAATGTCTCTTTCAGTCACAAGAGGCTCTCTTGTATTTTTCTGTCTAACAAACAAGTATGCTCATTTGTTCAATACACATATAACTTGTTTTTTAGACCCTGATTCTGCAAAATCTTAACTATGCTTAATATTACACATGTAAACAGTCCCACTAATGTCAATGGGACCATTAACATGCCTAAAGTTAAGCTTTTTTGGGGGAGGTCTCTTGCTAATTTGAACTAGAGTAAACAGTGGATACTCTGTCACATGAAGTCTTTAAACCAAGATTTGTGGACTTCAGTAACGCAGACACAGGTTAATGGGCTCACTACAGGAGTGGGCGGGTGAGGTTCTGTGTCCTGCAGTGTGTCAGAAAAGATCATCATGATGGTTCCTTTGGCCTTAAAGTCTATAATATGCCTGCAGATTTTATTGTGCTATTAAGCATGAACTATATTTTAATCAACCCAAAATATCTATTTTTATTTTCTCTGCAGACTCACATTTACTAGATATTCAGTTTGCTTTAACCTCTTCCCTTTGCATTTTCAAATTCTTTCCTCTTACCCTATGCAATTTCAATTCTGTTTGCCATGATAATGGCTTCCACTTACATAGCACCTTTCACCCAGAAGGATTCTAAATGCCTGGCAGCCTACAGATAGGGATAATTTCGCCCACCATGGCAACGCAGCCAGGTTTGAACAGCATTGTGTCAGTTCCAAACTGCTGTGGGATGTTGAGCGGTAGGAGCCAGAAAGTGATATGTTTATTTGTATGTCATCAGTATTTTGCCCCATAGAGCATACTTGGAAGCAGCTGAAGGCTTAACAGCCCCTTATCTGCACTATCCAAGTAAAAGGAGGAGGGTGTGTGTGTGGGGGGGGGTGAGGGGGCGGGAGAGCGTAGCCATGATTTGTAGCACAGATAGGCTCAGGCATTTTTACTGTCATGTAAGCCTGTTCAGTTGCACTGGAAGGCACCTGTGGTAAATGACAGGTCCTAAATTTGCCACAGCTGATGCAGTTTTAAGTCTTCATTATTTAATTGGGTCTGTGGAAGCGTTACCTATGTCACATTAGATAGGGTTCACCTTCTATTAAAGCTTATTCCAACCCTCTTGAGGTAAGAGCTGTTGTTTTTTTTGACTAGAACAGTGTAAGGCAGACAGAGCACTCTTACATATTAAAGTTTCTCATATCTTTCTAAATGTTCTATAGTAGCTATGATTGACGCTGTCTCTGGAAGATGGGTCCTCTATGCTGCAATCTATTAGTCTTACACCTTTCTCTATGCTTCCATCTTAGCTACACTAGCACTAACTACTGTTGAAATTCTAGCTAGTTAATCTGGTGTTTACACATCCAGACATGATACTCCACTCTTTTTTGGTTGTGAACTAGATCAGGACAGATTCAGAATGAAGACTGCTACTTACTGAATCAACAAGACCACTTCTAGCAAGACCTGTATTTTATCATAGGGCTCCTACCCCAAATACTATCCTAATTCAGCACTGCTTAACATAAAACAGGTGGTAGGCCAAAGCAGTATAAACCAGGTTATTTCTGTTCTTCCCTAGCTTTCCAGTTCTATTTGCCTTAGAATTTTGTTCTGGCACCTTTCATCATAGTATCTGAATGCCTCCAATATTATTACACTAGCCAAGTGAGGAAGCTAGTAGATTTGACGACATCTTTGGCTTTTCTCTTGTTATAGGGAACATTCTCGTTAGGCTGGAAAAAGCTCTCTCAAAAAGAGGAAGGTCTTGCTGTAGACACCCGAGGTATGTTGCAGAGAAAACAGAATTCAAAATGGCCACCCTTAAAAAGACAAGCCTCCTCGCCCGCCCCCAACATCTTTTCTCCAGGGGCTTTTTTTTTTTTGGGTCAACAACTTTTTCCTGGGGAATGGCCGTCCTTAAAGGGGCAAGCCTCCTTTTTTTCCTCTCTCAACAACTTTTCCCTGGGGGCTTTTTTTATTCACAACAACAACAACAAAATAATCCTTGGTGTTCCCCATAAAAATTATATATTTATTTATTTTGTTTGGTGTTCCTCGGTCTAGTAGATCTCATCGTCTCACAGCCAGTGTTTATTCATAGAGTTTGTAAAGGACAGGAGTGTTGACCAACTCGCACTGACTAAGGGGTTAAACTCAGATAGCTAGCAAAAGTGTTGGCCAGGGGACTGAGAGATAGAGGGATGAAATTTGAATTGGATATAGATTCCTTGCCAGCTTTCTTTATGTGTAAAAGAAAAACCAGGAGTTGAGAGACACAATGATTTAAACCCAGGCAGGACTACCATGCCTCCAAGGAATTCGTAACATGGGAGTGGACTGAAAAAAGAGAAGATTGGAAGTAAGTAAAAGGGAAAAAGAGTGGATCTAGTGTTCAGGGTATTTTCTCTTTATTTTGTGGTTTGGTTTGAACTGCTCTGTGTGAATCTATGCCTCCCCTCCCTCTTCACAGAGACTTTTCCAGAGACTTTTCTCTGTGTTTTAATTTGCTTTCCTTAGCTGCACCATAATACCTAGAATCCAAGTATGCTTTATCAAGTTTATGTTTTGTTTTGTAGTAAGCACATTTTTTTAAGATAATGATTTGATTCGTGTGTCTGGAAGTTCTGTCTGTCTGTGTGAATTTGCATGTCTCTGACTGAGGGGTCATCTAGTAGAGACCATAGCTTGTTTTTCTCCTTTTTTTAAAGCTCTTTTTGGGGCAAAAGAGCTTGGGGTCCTCCTGGGGATGGGTCCAAGTGTTCACCCCCAGTTTTAGGGGTAAAAATCACTTGATGGTGGCAGCTTGTTTGTTTATTTCTCAGAGCCAGGGAATCTATGACCGGGAAGTTTCAGTAACCAGTGCCAGTAGAGGCAAAGGGTTTTTTGTTTTGTTTTTCTTTTGAGCTTTTTGCAGGCCCTGATCTTCCTCACTCTGAGTGCCAGAGGGGGAACAGCCCTGACAGAGTTTAACAGAAAAAATGGGCTGTCCTACTTTTTTAGCTCTCAGTTTCTTAACTTTGAATGAAATAGGACTTCATGAGCTGAATAAACAAAAGAAAATGTTCTCTTTCTACCTGTTGAAGAGACTACTGTGAGATGCTGGATTAGCACTTAAAAAATTCTGTTTTAATATACTTAGCCAGTGACTGACTAGTTCAGTGGTTTGATTTTCTTTAAAAACTTCAGCAGCACACATGATTGCTTAATGGCTATTTTAATTCAGTTTGCATTGCTCTAAAAGATTATGGTAAATTTAGGCCTTAACACAAATGGTTGTCATTTCAAATTTAAATTTTAAACTCTAAAAGATTATGAAAAACATGTATTTTTTTACCCTAATACAGTAACATTTTACAGTAAACAAATTCTGTCCCCATGCTTGCTGATCATAGTGATAGCTATTAGCATTTCAGTCAGTCATGTATTTGTCCATGCATTATTGAAATAATTGTGAAAATAGCCCTGTATTCAAAAAGAAATAAACTTACTTCAATACTGAAGTACCCTCTGTCCACATAATCACCTAAGAAGAGGTACCGTGTGTTGGCAGGAGAACCTCCTACTTCAAACAGCTTCATCAAATCAAAGAATTGTCCATGGATGTCCCCACAAACTAGGAGAAATTAAAATATCCGGCTGTTACATGGTCAATTCAATTAGTGTTATCAGGATAAGGATACACAATTTAAAATAATTAACTTAATAATAAAAATGCAGTATTATATTTTATTGTTCACTAGCTATTTTCTGTGTTTCAACTTACAATTTATATCTACATTGGCATGATTGGTGAGGGTGGGTTTTTGACCACTTTGTGCAAAGTATAAAATATCTGATAATTAGAGGATACATAAAAATATCCAGAATAAGAAAACACATTCAACATATTAGTCATATCAAAACAATCTCATTCCCTTCTTGAATGATCACTCTACCTACCTATACCATCCCAAAATCCATGGGAATATCATTGGGTTTTGTATTGTGCATGCAAGATCAAAAAACAGCACAACACCACAATTGATAAGTTAATTCCCACAAAAGTCTTTCACTTTCAGGTTATACATACATACAGAGTCACAATGGGAAAGAACATGATAGAAAATGCATGCTTTCAAATAATTGGGCACACTTTTGTGCCTAGCAAGCAATAAATTCACACAAACATTTGCATCCATTTCTGCCTAAAGGTCTTACTCTCCTATTGAAAAGTCATACCTCAAAATTATTTCATGCTGTGAATAAACTGAAATCACTTCTCCACACAGATTCAAATAGTACAGTAGTTGTAATAAACTTTCACCAAATTAACAACCCTGCAACAATGCAAACATCATTCATATCTCAGTATGATGCCACACATTTTTACTTTTTAGTTACAAGAAACCAATAAATTTCTCTCTCTCTCTCTCCCCCCGCCCCTCCAACAACTTTAGAATGGAGGCCATATAACGTAATGTAGAATGGAGGTAACATCTTATGAGTCTGCTCAACAATATACAGCAACAAGAGAGCTAGGGTTGCCAGATGTTCCTTTTTCAAGTAGGCACCCAGTCAAATAGGGACCCTCGTGGTTCTGGTCATCACTGCTGAACGAGGCCATTAGAAGTTCAGTCAGCGGTGCAGTGGGGCTAACGCAAGCTTTATGCTTGCCCTAGGCCCACGTAACTTACAGAAGCGGCCAGCATGTACAGCTCCTAGGTGCAGAGACAGCTAGGGAGGCTTTGTGTGTTGTCACTATCCTGTGTGCCAAATGCACCAAAAAAGTGGCCAATAGGAGCTGCAGGGGCTATGCTTGCAGGTGCAGGCAGCGCACAGAGCCACCTGTCCTCTCCGCCTAAGAGCTGGTTTTGGCAGCTTCCAGGAGTCACCTGGCCAGAGCCCCCCACCTCCAGCCCTTGCTTCAGGTCAGAATCCCTCCTGCACACACATTCCTTCCCAGAACCCACAACCCACATCGTCTCTTGTATTCTAACCTCTTGCTACAGTCCTGAGTCTCCACACACATCCCAACTCTCTCCCAGAGACCACACCCCAGCATTGTGCAGGACAAACCTCTCACCCCTGGCCCTACATCAGAACCTGCATCCTAACTCCATTACCTCAGCATGGGAGCTCCTTCCTGTAGCCCAATCCCTTCACATCCCTGGTCCCACACTAGAGCCTGCACCGCCAGCTAGAGCCCAGTGAAAGTGAATGAGGGTGGAAGAGAAAAATAAGAACAGTCATACTGGGTCAGACCAAAGGTCCATTTAGCCCTTAATCCTGTCTGCCAACAGTTGCCAATGCCAGATGCCTACAGAAACAGGTAATCATCAAGTGATCCCTTTCCTGTCATCCATTTCCAGCCTCTGACAACAGAGGCTAGGGTTACCATTCTTACCCATTTTGGCTAACAAGCACTGATAAATTCATGGAGGTTAGATCCATCGAGTTCTTTCTTGAACCCTGTTGAAGTGCTGGTCTTCACAACCTCCTCTGGCAAGGAGTTCCACAGGTTGACTGTGCACTGCGTGAAGAAGCAATGGAGGGAAGGGGGATGGAGTGAGGGGGCCAGGGTGTTGGAGAAGGTACAGGGCAAGTGCAATGCTTGGAGAAGAGGTGGGGCAAGGAGCAGGTGAATAGTGCTTGATTTTCTGTGCTTAGAAAGTTGGCAAATCTTTGCCCCAAGTAGAGCAAATCTATTATATATTTGAGAGAGAGCGTGCGGCTGTCCGTCTGTCTGTTCAAGAACTCTTCAAACAGTAAGAGCTAGGAGCACCAAATTTGGTATGCAGATTCCCCTTATAACTTAAGCAAGTTAAGGATCTGGTTGTGCCAGGACAATGGGATTTGCCTGAAATGAGACTTTTTCCTCTTAAAATGCAAGGAGAGGAATCTGCTAACAGGCACAGTTACACTGCAGAATGACCTCGAGGGGCAGGCGCAGCAGTAAGAGAGTGGCCAGCCAGGGGTGGGGCACTGGATGTTGCTGGCCACTGTATGTGGATAAAGTGCCACTGGTTGGGCCATCTGACCCTGGCCAGCCCCAGGGAGCCAGCAGCCAGGCTGCATGGCCCACATCATCCCAGCGAGCCCCAGTGATCAGCCGACCTCCTGCACCACCCATCCCCCTGCCCTAAGCACTCACAGTCTGCTACCCTGAGCCTCTCCTCATCCTCCAACCTTGGTGCCTGCACCTCTTCACACCCTCAGCCACCTGCTCTGAGCTCCCCAATCCCCAAATCCCTGCCCTGAGTCCTGCACCCACCATACTCCCAACCCTGAGCCCCACCTTAATGACCCAAGCAATGCAAGGTAAATGTGCTAGTCATAAAATATAGCAAAGGTACTGATTAAGCAGACCTTACTCATAAGTGGTACCTCTAACATCACATAAGTACGCGTAAGAGTTACACTTGCACAATCAGTTTCTAGGCCCCTATTTTTCCTTTGCTATGCATTGCTGTACACTATCAAGTAAAGACTGCATAACTACAGTACTTTTAAAATACAAATCAATGAGTTTCTCCCATCAAATAGTGTAACTATATAGAGACAAAAGAAAAAAGCAGTCATGTAACACTTTAAAGACTAACAAGATAGTTAATTAGGTGATGAACTATTGTGGGGCAGACCCACTTCTTCAGATCATATTCTGAAAGTGAATTGGCATGACCATTATATAACAGAGGGATACAATGAAACAAGAAAACAAATTATAAACTAACAAATGAGCTACACAGAACAGAAGGTGTGGGTGAGGGGACAAGGAAAAGACAAGGAAGGAGGAAATTGCTTATTGTAAGAGTCAATTAAGTGGCTAATCTGAAGTTACTACAAATATCAAAAGGTGGGGAGGCTGTCTTTGTAATGTGTAAGGTAATTATAATCTATATTAAGGCCCATTAACAATGTGTTGAATTTTAGCATAAATAAAAGTTCTAAAGTCTCCTTCTGTAATATGATTTTAAAGCCTCTTTGTAGTAAGAAGCATGTTGACCCACAAAAGTTCTTGTTAGTCTTTAAAGTGCTACATGACTGCTTTTTTTGTTTTACCAAGATCAGACTAACACAGCTATCTCTCTGTTACTTTACACAAAGACTAGTGCTCTTTCACCAGTTTTATATTACACTGTGTAATCTTTTCCTTCCAGGTGACATTTTATTTTCATATGTTTTGGGATGAGAATCTAAGTATTACTTAAGAAACCAGCAAAGGGTAATCATGATCACTCTATTAAAATGCAAAAAATAAATAAAAGCTTAAATTTAAACCCTCACACAACGTAATGAAAAAGCTGTCATTGTAAAGTCACTTTTTGAAGCTGAAGCTGTTATCTGCAATTAAGGAAAATTCTGAATATATTTTATTTATGTAATTACTTGAAAGAATCATTTTACTTGAAAGTAGGAATAAGAGATCCTCCGGAAAAGGCTTTATTTTCCGGAGAATCACGTCTAGACTGGCGCTTTTCTCCGGCTTATCTCCAAGCCGGAAAAAAGCGGCAGCCATGTTAATGCGAATACCGCGGGGGATATTTAAATCCCCGCGGATTTGCCTATTCCAAAGTGCAACATTAGCATCCCTTTTCCGGAAGGTATGCCAGTGTAGACAAAGCCCAATAGTCCAGCACTCCTGATACTCCGGCATCAAAATGGCAAGCGCTCCCGGCCAGCTGATTGAAAAGCCAGCCGCTCAGCGCATCTGCTGGCAGGGGCAGATGACGATTTTGCAGCTCAGGGCAGCACAATTTAATGGGGCCCTCCCGTGACATGGCGCATGCACGGGGCTTCTTGAAGCGCGGGGCGCAGGGCGGCCACCCCGCACACCCTGCACTATATCTGCTCCTCCCTGCTGGCTGTACCTGGACCCGAGCATAAGGTTGGGTGGGGGAGTGGGATCGGGTTACAGCATGGAGAAGAGTGTTTTGCTCCAGTGAAGGGGAAAGAAAAGGGGAGGAGGAGAGGATTGGGTCCCAGCCAGGTGTTTGAAAAGCCGTGCAGCTGTACGTGGACCTCCTGATACTCCGGCATATCCGATAATCCGGCACCACCTAGGTCCCAAAGGTGCTAGGTTATCGGAAGTCTACTGTAAAAAGAAATTTTCCAAGAGCCTCTATCAAGTAGTATACTCTGCATATGATTATAGCTAGGAGTCTCTCTCCCTCTCCCTCCTTTTAGTGACGCTCTCCCACATCAAAGTTATATGATCACAACTGAAGTGCATATCATTAAAATAGCACAGATTAGTTTCTGAGAGCTACACTGAACATATTTGGATTCTGTATGGTAAGGGAGGGATAGTTTTCCTCCCCAGTGCCGGAAATGTTATTTTTCAGGCACCTAGAGAAAACATAGAATCATTTCACTTATTATTTCAAACTATTTATATCACAGCATCACCGAGATCTACAAACAAACCAAATGAGGACCAAATGAGGTCAAAGCCTCATTGTTCTAAGCTAAATATACAACTGAAACGTAAGTTGATTATGAAGATTAAACATCCGGACAATGTTCTTGTGTTAGGATTCTCTATTTGTAGGTGAGTGTTTGCTGTGTTACCTCTCAGCTAGCTTTCTATCCTTAAACAGCCCATTATGCCACTGCATAATATGCCAAATAGCAAGAAATGTTGTTTAGCTTACCGATTCTGGGGAGCAAAGAATGATCACTTTCTAATACTGTATGTACATGTTTGTGAAATTGTAACAGATTCTGGAAGTGAGCTGAAAGTACAAGTTTTTGCCAGTCCTGTGCCTCAGCAACTTTTACTGATCATTTTGGGCCCCTGCTGAGATCTTCAAATAATCCACTGACTTCCAGTTTTCGATTACATTTGCTGTTTTCAGTGGTAGTTTTGTACAAAGAATGCAGAAAGAGAACATTTGAAGTATAGTTTACTATTATTGTCTATAAAAATATTCTCTTCACTGCAAAAAATAAAATCCCCAAACACAAATCTTCATTAGAAGCAATCAACTGTATATTTTTAACTTTCTTTTTGTGTACGTGTATATCAGCTTTTTGACTCAGCCAGCCCCTCCTTTTATCTGCCTGCTGGTTCTGTCTCTTTTTCTGTATGGTTTTCTGAGAAGCAATTCCATTCTAGGCACATCCCATTTTCCTGGCACAACCAAACCCTGATCCTGCTATAAGTTATGAAACAGTACATCAAATTTGATGGTCCTAGTTCTTACCATTTAGGAGGAGTTCTTGAACAAAGGGAGATGGACTGTCTAAAATATATAGAAGGCAACTGATTAAGAGAGACTAAGCTGCTGATACCAGTCATGGGATCTTAGGAGGATCAACACATCTGTAGAACTTTCTGAGCAGGACTGCCTCACATCTAGCAAGTGCTGGAAAATATTAAGTTAACAGTCATATTTCAAATAGGCCCTTGTGAGTGACCTTGAATGTCAAATGGAAAATGGCTCACTATTCCGTAAACACTGATTTTATCTGATACAAACACATTTCATTGAACACATGGCTGTCATAATATTTATCCAGAAAAAGTATTACGTCGAGTATTAAATGACAACTGGTGATTCTCACCATTAATAATAGTATGTGATATATGGAGTGTTAGTGTGTCAAGAGTTCTCTATATATGCTAGAAATATCTGAGTAAAATATATTCATACAAACAATCTGAGTAAGGTAGAAAACAATTTTCTCCTAGACAAAATGTATGTGAATGTGCCAGTCTGCCTGGTTTAAGCTTTGTAATCCAAAAAACACAAAACAATAAAAAGCATATTTCCGTCTAAGCTAAACCAAGTGAACAAACCACAGAATTCCAAGGAACAAGAAAGAACAAGTAAGGAGGAGATGAACTGTGTCTGGCATTACTTAGCAAAACCATCTATTTCAAAGGTTTTTGGAACTATAAAAAGAGAGGAGGAAAGATACTACAAGGGATCCATCACCTAGCGACAAAGGGACCAGAGCTCTTTGAATCTGTGAAGATGGATTCCCCACATTTGTGTGGTTGAGGACACTGAGAACTGAGACATTCTTTGAGGCCATTTCTATAATCAGTTAAACTTCAGATTCTAGAAACTATGCTGTATTTGTAGCAATATTCTGCTTCTACTATCCTAGTTAACTATCCTTTACATTTTTATTAATAAACTTAAGTTTTGATTTCAGCATAAATGTATCTCAGTGTTGTATATTAAAGTATGAGTTCTTAGCTCAACTAGCAGGTTGTTCTGTTCAACCTCTCTTTGGAGGCAGTGGACTTAGTAATTGCTGTTAGCAGTTATAAGGGATAGATACTGCAGAGAAATGCTTTTCCAGGAGGTTCAGGAAAGTTACCTGAGTCCACTGAATGTAACCCGGAAGGCAAGGTTAAAGCTGGCAGAGTCTCAAAGAGTTTACTTGTGAGGCAGCCAGCCAGCCTTGTCTGACAGGGAGCAGACACACCACTTAAGCTTCAGCAAAGCTCTCTTTGGGATGGGAGGGTAAGTTAGTGGTTTACAAGTTCTGGGAGCCTTGAGAAAGTGTGTCAGTACCTTTGTCTACAACTGAATTTGTGATGTATCCAAGAACTATGTAGCATTATGGATTCATATACAACAAATATTTCATTGTGTGACTGATGTATTTCAATTTCGTTTGCAATATACAAGCAGTTAAGGAATGGAAACTTCTCAAGTAAAAGCGGTGAGGAGTCCAGACTAACACGGCTACCCCTCTGATCCTTTTCTCAAGTAAACACTGCATTAGCAGAAATCAGGGATGCTTGCCGGTTTGTGGGCATGATTTTGTTCTTGACAGTCAGGATTTGGAATAGAAGCAATAGCAGTGAACTGATTTACATTATGCAGACTATTTGTACAAATAGAAAGGTTATCAAGAAGACGTTTCTAACAAGTAAAGTTGTTTTCATTATATATCAACTAAACAACTTTCCATTTTCATGATTTTCTGTTGCTATTGGGTATGAACAAACATTACCTGCACAGTAAGGATGTTAAATTGTGGTTACCTAGCTCATCACATGGTTGATAAAATTTGTATTGACTATACGATTAGTTGA